TGTCTTTCTAAAAACACATGCAGGTTATATGTAATGCATACCGGTCGCTATTTTTCTGAGGGAAGAATTTCTTTTTTAACTCGATGTGTGACTCACTTATTCCCTGAATTTCGTGATGCGATTTTTATCTGGAGTTCCATGCCTTGCAATAATCAAATCAAAGAAAGGCTAATCCAAAAGAATAAAAATCTAACCACAGAATTAGACTCAGTGGCGTAAATGCCACGAGTTGATTGTGAAATGTCTATATGCACACGTCTTGTGTTAAAGAAGCAAGAATACATTTTTGAATACCACTCTCTTTTGTTCTCTGATTATAGTGGACAGAAAAATTTTTCTAACAGAAAAAGTTGATTGAAGGAACTGTGCACTCTGCAGTCACATGCTAAGGAGAGCACATCTACATACATGTAGTACCATGTATTTTAATTGTGTTTAATTTTAATTCATTATAGACATTCATGAATACACTTTTTACAAAAATTCGTCATAAAAGTTGCCAGATTTGGATTTGTTGTGGAAAATGGCTGAGCTAAATTGGTTTACTCATTTTTGTAGTTAATAACTTATGTGAATTAATGAATTAGTGGCCTTCCTTCCAAAAACCAGATCAGTGTCTCGTGCTAGATACAACCTGTAGTTTATATCTCCCAGTTTGCAGTGACGACGTGTCTGTACGGCTAATGGGTGAAGTTCTCAGCTGGCAACCAGACATCTATTTCTATCAGTCATCAGCGTTCCTGTGTCGTACAGGGAGCAGGGCACATCCAGGGGTGACACATTGTCTTCCCTCACCTGGAATCGGTGTGATCAGCCTGTGGAAGTGCCTCTCTTCTCCCTTTGGTTATAAAGGGTGACTAGATTACACTAGAACACCCAACGTTGTGTGTATGAGATGCGCCGTAGCCCAAGCAGCAATGCCGTAATGACTTTATGAAAGAACTCAGCCAGCTTAGCAGCAGCTGGAGGTCTTCTCTCTGGAGTCATACTGGCATATTTTCATTCCACAATACCTTTATATGTAGGGTCTAAGTTGGATTTCTGATCTGCCTGTGGGAGCATATAGAGAAAAGGCTGTTTTAGAATCTGTGTCCCATTTTGAGAGTTTATTTTTTTGCTTTCCTTTGTCAAGAGGATAACCGTCGATATTAGATACAACCTTAAATTAGGAAAGGGTGAGATCCTACAACTATTGAAGTCAGTGGAAGCTTTGCTGGTGACACTACAGAATGAGGATTTAATCGGTAAGTCGTAAGACCAAATTTAGACTTACGAAGTGGATTGCTATAATGCACACCAAATTACTTGTGCATGTAGCAAAAATTGTGTGTCTTGAATTCGTTATTTATGCATGTATGTTTTGCCATTATTTTGGAAGTCAGGCTTTCTTTTAAATAATTTTCCAAGAAACAACATAATCAAAAAACCTATTTTAAATGATAAACCTTTTTCATTCCACTCTGATTGAAAGAGCATCACCTGCCAGGGATGCCTGCCCGGGTCCGCCTGTGACACTGCAGTACTTGTGAATCTTGGGCGCAGAATGGCAGTTTCTGCTGCAGGATGGTGGTATCCCACGGAACGGCAGACACAGTGAGAACTGCCTCTTCCACTGGCAACAAACGTAAGACAAGTCTGTTTTACTAAGGGTAAGGGAAAAGACAGAGTTACAATATTTACAAATAAGATAACAGGGGTAAAATGGGTATGTGCTGTTCATATCGCCTGAAAATAGTGAAAATTTTCCGTACTCTTCTTGCGCTCCTCCGTTTAGTGGGGAGCTCCAGAGGATTATTCGGGAGGGCATTTCACAGTGTCTGTCAGCAGGCCTGATTCACAAAGAATTACAGAGATACGCCTGACACGTTAATGCTTTTTATCACAACGTTAATGCTTTTTATCACAGGTATTGCTTACCAGTATGTACCTTGGGTTCACTTTGCTTTCCTTTCTTTTCAACATGAAGAGTGTAATTAAGGACTTCCTCCTTCTTCATTTCTCATTGAAATGAGTAAAACTCTCAAATGTATTTTCAGAAGCATGTATTGATGCTGGCTATTAACAGGACAGACTTTTGCAATGCAAATGTTTTAAATTAGGTTTGTTCTCCTACTTGCATTTACCAATTAAAACCAGTGAACAAGAGGGCTGGTCCCTCGCTGTTTCCAAACTTGTCTACTGTTCACTTTAACCAGCTTTACTCTAAGACCATAAACAGCCTTTGAGCAAAAAACACTCCATGAGTTTCTGGCCACAAGCCCAAAGAGCCCATCAGCCTAGTGTGGGAAGGTTTTCAGTTATTTGTAAGGCAACTTTTTAGTCATTCAGTGCTAAATTACTTATCCTGGACGCAAGTGGCTGTACCGAAATTGGGTTCAAAACCAGGCTATCTGCAAATAACAATGGGGGAAAGTATTCTGAGGGTGAGAGGTACTTGAGGATTTTTTTAGATGACACCTACTATAATAACTACAAGAAATTTCATAGAATCCGGTACAAATATTAAGTAAATACACATTTCTAAGCTGTCTGTCCTTTTATTTATCCATCTATCCATACCTCTAGTCATAAAGCTAAACAAGTTTTTTTTCAATTTCTGATAGCTTACAATATTTTCCTTTTGCTTACAAGTGAGCATCTCTAATTAATGTATTATTGTTAAATAGAGTGCGATGGCTGATTTTAACTGCAAACATGAGAAAAAATGTAAAACTCGGTATGCAAAAGGGATTGTTCTGCTGCTTACACGTCCCAGACAATGAGCGATGCCTGTTTTGATGACCAAAGGCTTTACTTGTGATACGCTAAAGCTGCTGAATACCGACCTCGTCTATGAATTGATAGAGTCAGGATAAGTGTCCAGAAGAACGCTATCCAGAAGTCGTGATGGTATACTAATATTAACCTGGTATGTAAAGTTTTTGATGTACAGCCAGATGGAAACCACAGAAAGGTGTTTCAGTGTCCTCAACCAGAAAAGTGAGGGAAGGTCAGTTGTCTTAATATATTAATAAATCCCACATAACTTTTTAAGTTTGGTAGTATAGTTTATCCAAAATTATTTTATGTTTTTTGGAAAGCACTGGTAGAAGATAGCCAGAAATTTAACACATAGTTTTACAAAATTCATGCTGATACTTATTATAGCAGAAAAAAATATTTTTCCTGTAGAAATCAAAGGTATTCCGTGGAATGGAAATGTTTCGTTTGCAGGTTCCAACTCCACATTTCAGACTAGCAGTAATAAATTTAGACAAGGAATTTGGATATGATATGGAGCTGGTTCAGATGAATACAGTATGTGTACATTTTGCATATGTTCAAGGGCAAAGCATTACAGGGGCAGTGAGTCCCTATCAGGAGGTCAGTTTTATTTATTCCTTAAGCAATGAGATCATGACTGCTGGGAATTAATCCATTCATTTTGTTATTGTCTGTGCAATTTCATTTGCTTGCTTTCTTCATAATTCCCGTGAAATTTTTACATAATCTTAGATAGTCTTGCCAGCTCCCTTCCCCCTACTTATCTGCACGTATTTTGTTAGATTACATTTTACATATTTTGAGGAAGATGAATGGAGTTAACACGCACACCAGGGTGTATGTACTTACATTGCTTTGAGATCAGAGCAGGAACCAAATTTACTGAGTCATTCTTTAGTCTTGGTTTTGCTTAGCCCTAAAGTGGAAGTTGCCCCACTGGTGATGATGTTCTTCACTCATCACTCTTCAGCGCAGGATTCATCTTGCTTTTCTGAGGATGTCTGTACTGTGGACGTGTAGACCGAAGCCGGTGTCCCTAGGGCTCCATCGCTGATGTGCACAGTTGAACTTCATACGAATTCATAGATGTGATTCATCTGACACATTTTAAACATCTAATTTAGGATGAAGTTACTCTCTAAAAGTGCCTATTATCTTTTTTATTATAAAGGGACTTCAGGTGACTAATTAGGATACTGCAGATGTCTAACCCGTTCAAGTGAATCTTTTCTTCCTGGACAGAAAATCACCAATTTTCTATATGAAAAATCATAATTAAAAAAGAAGCCTACTTTCATTTATATTTGCCAGCATCCACAGCTTCCTTTCATGTCGTATATGGTTGGAGTTCCTTAACCTCTCTGTAACAGTTAACATTTTTAAGATTCTTAAGGTCTTAAACTTTGTTTATTGAGGGGGGAGTGGGGTTAATAATATTGCAGAGAAAAAAGAAAACTTTTTTTTTACTATTTATATCTGTGCAAATATGTTGAAATCGGGATCATCTTGATCTGCCAGAAAAAGACCTTGTGTTTTCTTCTAATAATGAAGGTATTGGGAACTTTGGACTAAACACATGAGCAGTCAAAACCAAGATTACATCAAAGGCCTTGAGTTTGCTATGCAGACTTGTTCAGATTAATGGGTACAGCAGAATGTATGGCATGTTCTATAAGAGGTGGGTAAAAATGATAAAAATTCCCTGTATGTCTGTACTTTATAGCCAAATCATGTATTGCGTTACAAAAGCTATTGATCTTTCCCCAAGTGGCATTTTTATTTTCAGTATAAAACTCTGAGTAAGCTTAATCTTTGAAAATGCTTACTCTTAAAACCTTTTTTTCCTTTGCTTACCAATTCAAGTGATTCTCAGAAGAGTAAATACATTTTTCCTTTATGTAAGAAACATCTTCAGATAGTGATAATCCTCAGATAATAACAAGATACAGAAGACTAAAAATGTGTTTTCAGCATATTTTGCAAGCTTTTCAATATTAAGCTTCCTTGGGCTTTATTTCTCAATTTTTTTTTTTTTTTTTTTTTTTTAAATCTAGGTAATTTTTTACCTACAACCCAATAGCTGTCAGGTATGGCATACAGCACCCTGTTGTTCTCTAGTCTAAGTAAAATAAGAAATTATTTAGCATACTCATTTAGTAATCTCAAGTGTTGGAGGGCAACATTGTTTTTTCTCTAAGGTAGTGACCTCACTCCTTTGAAGCCATGGTAGGTACACGATGAAGAGGTCTTTAGCAAAGGAAATCAGGAAATCACGCCACAATATGAACATGCAAGCAGTTTGGGATGCCAACATCTTCATTGTTGCCAAACACAGGGTTGTCCAGCCGTGCCACGTACTTTTTTCAAATGTTCCAGCTTAGCAACTACTCGGCACATTTCCTTCAAACACGAAATAGTTGGTAAGCAAGTTAACGTTTGGCTTCTTGCCTTTCCCCCAGACAAAGAGCTTTATATGTCAAGCGCGAAACTTTAAAATGGAATCAAAATAAGATTATTTTTCATCCTGGGAGGTAGGCGACAACATGCAACTCTCTACATTTTCTTTCCTTTCCCTTTTTAGTCTTCCTTTTTAGTTCTTCATGCTGCAAGAAAGATATCATGCAACACATTTTTGGAAGAACAAGCGTACATTTACTGTGCCAGGTCCTATCTACTGCATCCTTCAGCGTGTTCCAAGGAAAGCATGCAAAGTATTTTAAATCTGCTGTACGCCACATAACTCAGCTTCTTAACTGCTTAGAGTGACTAGCGCTACTATAGAGGGAGTAAAGAATATATATTTTTAATTATTTTCATAAGCCAGTGGGACGATGTCATTGATGGCATTTATCGTATATGGTTTCAAGCTGAGATTGCTTCAAAGTGGCGTATCATGTTACTTCATGTAGGAAAGATTCCCAGCAAACTTGGTTTTATACTGATGAAAGAGGACCATTGGAGTGACTTGTTACTTCTTCCAAGAACAGAATTTGGAAAATTTCACTTGTATAAAATCAAAGTTTTTTCTTAGTTAAAACAATCTGCATCATTTCTTGTTTTCAAGAAAAAATAGTTGAAAAATGAAGAATCTGAAAAAGAGCAAGTAGGTATTCTGTAGACTTAAAAGAAAGGATTACTTACAGGCTACAGAATTTTCACAAACTTTCTGTGACTTCCCCAACATTGAATGCTGTTTCCTTTAAACTCCTTTGGCCTGGAGTAACACCGTGTTCACAGTAATATGCTCACTCTTTCTTCTCCCTTTTTACCCCGTGTTATTGATTCAATTTGAGCTTATAAAATACACCTTAGAAATACGGATATAGGGGAACACTAAATTTTTCCAAAGCATGGAAGATGTAAGAGAAAATAATTACTGTTTATGGAGAAGTGAAGAGGAAAGATGGCCTGCTGTTATTTTCTGCTTTGCTGTTTCCTTAATAGTGATATACCTATGCTATCCAGCTCTTTATTTCTCCTGCATTTGCTGGTTACTTATAGACTACTCTAAAACCGGTAGGACTGATGGAATGGCTATCCTTATCCCTTGAACTGTGAGTTTCCATGCCATGGTGTGGGGATTTTTGTTAAAGTGTATTGGGAAGAAAACATAGTCCAATTATTTATGATAAAAGCTATTTTATCTGGTGGTTTAGCACATCACTCTAGAATCCATCTTTAAGAAAGACCACTTTTTTTAGAGAGGAGAACTGAAGGGAGAAACCAATTTCATTTCACAGGTACATAAGTAATTTCACCACATAAAAATATTCATACTGAGAAAAAGTAAGTGTAAGAATTCATGTAGTATATAAGAACAAAATTAAGTCCAGTGTTTAAACAACTCCTGTAGACAGTTTGTAAAGAGAAATGAAGTCCCTATTGGAGGAATCCCTCAATAATACCTTTTTTTAATAAACCTTTGATTAGTATTTTTTTTCTTCACTTTTAAAGAAACTTGCAATGTTTTGATTGTGAACATACTGTGAGGCATATTGAGTAGCCTTTGACAGCATGCATTTTCAGGGAGTTTTATAGTATATTTGCTGAGAGTAGCCATTACTAAATAATTTAATTTAACATAACTGCTCTCGGGTTTAATCTGGTTTTGCAGTTTCCATTTTACATTAAAGTTAAAGTATACTTGTCAAATTTGTAGATGTCTTTTTTCTTTGTCAGCTCAGGTAGGACTTTGAAGCATACCTCCTCATGTTAGCATTTCATATCATGTTGCTTTCCCGTGCCTTCCTTGTTGTAGCAAAGGATTTTAAATCCCTGGGACTGCTGGATGTGAAGGGTAATAGCCAATGGGTTGACATAAAGGCGGCAATAGGTAAAAACTGAATACCCCAAGGACTGATACCGAGACCCATATTGCTCAATATCTTCATCAACAATGTGGACAAACATGTGGGCAAAGATACAAAATGCACATTCTGCAAATCTGTTGATGGCAGTAAATTAAGAGGGTCTGGCACACTGGTTGAGGGAGCTTCAGTCCAGACAGGTCTTGAAAACCTTGACAGCTGAACCAACAGAAACTTCACTGAGTTTCTGCATCTGGGACAGAGTAACCACACGCATGGTACAGGCCGGTACCAACTGTCTAGGTAGCAGCCCTCCTGGGAAGAACCTGAGCAGTGATAATGAACATGGAGTTGACAGTTTGGTCTCATCAGATTAAAGCAAAACTCACAGTTTTGCAGAAATGTGGCTGGCAGAGTGAAGGAAGTTGTCATGCCCTTCTACTTGGTGCTGTTGAGCCAAATCTGGAACACTTCATCCAGTTTGGGGTCTTTCATTCCACAGAAGTGCTGAGAAACTGGAATGGTTTAGCTGAAAGCTACTGAGAGCTGAGGGCCGTGGAGCACATGACCTGTCAGAGGAGGCTGAGAGTGATTACTTCATTTTACCTAGTCTGAAGAAGAGGAGGCTAAGATTTGGTAGCAGCCTACGACTGCTGAAGGTCTGTTACAATGATGATAAAACCAAACTTTTCTTAGTGCTGGGTAGAATAAAGAAGGTCAAGTGCCACAAATTGCTGCTTGGTGGTTTCAAGCAGGCATTAGAAATCTTCTTAACTAGTGCAACACTGGAGCAGGTTAACCAGAGGAGAAAACTTAGCTAGAGAAAGCCATAGCTGACTTCATCTAGGGTTGGCAATAGTCCTCTTTTAAGGTGGAGGTGGGGCTAGAGACCTCTAGAGGGAGGGTTGTTGGAGAGGGATCTCAAGCAACAGTTCTGCAAGCCTGCACATTTCCGTGTAAAATTTCAAGAAAAATTTGCCATAGAGAAGCTCTGTCTGTTTGATTACCTACCTAAAGTTAAATTATTTCAATATTATCTGGGAGTGCCCAACTAGTAATTTCTGACTGGCAAACAGAGTCACAAATGACTGCAGAATCTAAACCATATTACATAAAAAGTTGGCATTTAATTATTTGGAGACATTATCTCTTAATCCAAATTAGATGCCTTTCTAAAACATGTATTAAAGTTACACAAGAAATTCTAGGACTGCCATTCCTAGGATGTATTATGTGAGAAGTGTCCTGTGCTATGCAGAAGTTCAGATTAGATGATCCTGGTGGTGCCTTCTGTCTTCAAAAGTACGACTGAATTAATTCAGAGGCAAAAGAGATCGCTGTTATGATTATGTTAGATGAGGGTTGAAGTTATGGCATGTATTGTGAAAATTACTTTTAAAGGATAAAAAAATCAATCTAGACTTACTTAATGTCTTGATGGAATAGACTGACTGAACATTTTTACTTATCTGAAATGGCAGCTCCACAAAATATAGTCAAGATGCCAGAATTGTGCATAGAAGAACTGAAAAATGCTTAAGTAGAACATTTTCTGTCCTGGTAAGTAAAAGTCAAAACACGGGAGAAATGATTGACTGGAGAGAGAAGAAGAGAAAGAAGGAATATCCAGATATATTCCTGGACAGTTAGTAGTTCAGTTCACAACTAAATTGAACGTGTTGTCTGTCAATAAGATCTCATAACTGATGGATTGGGCTGTAATAGAAGACTGACCTAAAAGTCAGAGAATAGAGGAAGAAGCTATGTATTTGAAGTACTGATATTTTTTTCTTTTTTTTTTTTTTTTTCTGATTTGAAAACCTGCTAAGACTAAATGCTGGTCGTATAACTTGTCTCCAAATACTCTTATCAACAGCCCTTTTGTTTTCCATTAAATCTGATTTAAAAACTCTGCACTTTTGATTTCATCTGATGTAAGAGTGCTCAGGGAGTCAAAACTTCTGTGTACGTGTGCGGTTTTTTCTTTGTTTTTGTCTTTAATGTGAACACACCTGTACTTTCCCTCCTGTGCGCATGGTCTCTTGAGCCGTGTGGACTCGCTGCAGAAGTGAAGCCTTGGTGCCATCAGCCACTGTTGATACCACTTTGTGTCGTTAATTACAGTTCGGTTCTCGCCAAGTGTAATGATTTATTCATTGAGTTGTTGTTCGGAAGATAGTTATTTTCCTTTCCGTGGTGTTTAAGACAATCTACTTGCCTTGTTTGAGAGACTTGAGCAAGCTGTCTGCTTCTGAAGAGGATAATCGTTCTCTTCAATCTAACTGCCGCTTCCTGCCTGCGAGACGCGAAGGATTTAATCTCTTCTAGAGACCAGACCCTACCTTGCGAAACTCAGCCCTGCCCTGTTGAAGTAAACAAAACTCACACACACGCTCAAACCCAACCACGAACTTCAGTGCTGCTTCCACCACGATTCCATTATGGCAGAGTACATAGGAGGAGGGGAGGCTATGCATTATACTTACGGTTTTGTACCTTGGCTTTTTTGAGATATAATCTTTTGGTTTATATTGGACTCCGTGTGAAATACATTCTGAAATCCAGTAGTGAACGTTTTAAGCCTTTTTTCTCGGATGAGCTCTAATTCAATCTAATTGCCTTTCTTCTCCTGTAGGTGTTCAGAAGGATCAAAACTCAAGCACAGATTAACAGTGAAAAAAAATGAAATAGACACATTTACCACTTAATTATTACAGTATATTGAATGTCTGTGTGGGAAAGGGCACTTCAGTGCTCCGTGCTGTCTGGTACATCCTCAATGTGATGGAATTTATTCATTTCACTGCTGCCAACGCTGCCATTTTAGAAACACGCAGGTTCAGTTCTGCTCGATGCAGAACACATTGGCCTCGGTCCAGGAGAACATTTTACTTGCCTGGTCATCCGTAAACGCGTAGGCAGACTACTCACGTGCTCTGGTTTAAATGTGCACCCCGGGGCAAGAGTGCTCAGCACCTTTCCTCACTCAGCCCTCGTCGCTGCCGTAGGTGAGCGGCGGGCAAGCAGATTTTTAAATAAGAATTGACACGCTCCTCTGGGAAATTTAACTCACGAGACTAATAACCAATCTGTGGTTGATATTTCTGCATGTTAACTTGTTCAATGCGTGTTCAATTTGGGAGGGTTACTTCGAGGTTATGGCAGGGGTGCTTTGCTGCTATAATTTCTGTTGTGGAATGCAGCTCTTGTTGGAATAAGGTACATCATGTACTTTTACTCTTTTGTCAGAGAGCGGAAAGACAAACACGGATGATGGACTCGGTCCAGTATGCGGAATTTTGTGAAAGTCGGCAGTTGAGTTTCTGTAAGTATTATAATGGCTGTACTGTATTAAGATGTTCAGTTATTATTTCATGTCATAGAGAACACAGCAGAACCTTAATGTTTTTTGAAAGTGGTTTCGTTTCATCTGCAATAAAAAAACTTTAAATCCTTTGTTTGCATAACTCCTGGGAACAGTTAATTTAGGATAGTTTCAGGCTGTCAGGCAGTGTATTTTATTTGAATATTTACCAAGCTTTCTGTATGCTCAAATACTGTGCTGGTGGGGAGGACTGCAAAGATAGAACTGGTAAAGAGTTAATGGATTAACACTCGTGCTTGCCTGAAGTCTGTCGTGGTGGGGTTACAGTCAGCATATTAGTAACATTTCATGGTTGCAGGTTTTGCGGAATGCATCTAAAATTAGAGAAGAGCAGCAAGTTTTGCTTTTATTTCCTGATCCGCAGAGACACAAAGAACTTACTAAAGAGTCTTTTCTATTTTAAGCTGTAAGCTCCTGCTGTGGAATTTATTCGACGTTAGCCAAATTCATCAGTATACGCCATTCCAACACTAATAACATGATGACAGAATTAGGGCTTTACTAGCACTGAAAACCAACTTACTAGAAGTACTTGTGGGCCACAACTATAATGAGCTGTAAATTAATGGGCTTGATCATGTAGCAAAACACCATTACAGAAGCGGTTAAGTGATGACTAAGGTTTTAGGTCAAATGTCGGAGAAAGTGAGGTGAAGGAGCCAGTAAAAATCATGACAAAACAGCACATGATCCTACAACGCAGACTTGAACACAATGGTGTCTTTAAATGAGACCTTATCTTGTTCTTCCTTTTAAATTCAAAGAAAGAGTGACTCATTTATGGCAAATAAATGACACATTTGAATTACTGTTCTGTATCAGCAAATGTCAGCAAATGTAGGAAAACATGTTTTGTAAGCATTTCTTTTCCTAATTCAATCTGTTTTGTAAGCTTAGTTATAATTTGGCATCACACATCTGTGAGCCATTAGATAAATGATACTTCAGATGAGGGTGACTTCAGCAAATGAGAGGTTTGTGATAAAGTCATTTTTAAAACCCCAAAATTATCATCTGGAGACAGAACAAATAGAAATCTTAAATCTGCAAAATAAAATTGAATGTTGCTGACCAGAGAATTGTGATCTATAAAAATGTCTCAATTTTCACAGTGTTTTTAAATGACCATGTCTATACAGTTCTTCACTGACATTTAATGTCATTAAAGAATAAGAGAATTACAGTGCTTAGAAAATAGTAGCAAGAGAGACTCGTGCACAAATTCAGTTACGTAGTATGGACTCAACTAGACAGAATATACTGAAGGCCATGCAGAATATTTGTTCAAAACTGATGCAAAGGCTATTTTTAACTTATTTTCTTGTATTTTAGTAAAATTTGAATGTATTGCTGTGTTTAAAGTAGTAAACCCTTTTTTACTGTAATATAAACCCATGAAAACTGTGACACAAGAGAATAAACCTGGAAGGGACCTCGAGAAGCCTGTTCTAACAATACATGTTCATAATTACAGCTCCGCATATTTCTGTGCAGTTTTAAAGACAGGTGAAAGAAAAAGCCTATCAAAGGATCAAGTACTACAGGATTAAAAACTTAAGTTCTAGGGAACATTTTGTGGTCCTTTTGTCACCTTCACACTTTCGCTTTTATTTGTTTCTTCTGCAACCCTGTGTAGCTTTTTCATTCCTTCCTAAAAAATAACCATTATTTACACCTGTTTTCTACTTAATACCTGACTTCTCCTTAGCTTTTTAGTCCTTGTTGAAGACTGTCTTTGAAAGAGCCGTTTCAAATGATTTTCCCACCTTGTATTTACTTCATTCTGGTTGTCCTGATTTCACAAACAGCCCTCATTAAGACCTCTACATTACTAGCTCCTTTCTGTCCAAGTCTCCACAGCTTTCTGCGATCAGCTTGTCCACCACTGACTTAAGTAAGATCATCTTTTTTTTCCTCCTTTTACTCTCTCAGCAAATAGAGAGTATTTTTCTCCCATATTTTTCTCTGTACTTTCTCCTAAGTGATCTCATCCATTAGTGTGAAGTTCTCATACGAATGTTGACCATTTGCAGATCTACATCTATCCTTATTTCTTTATATCCAAAGCACGTTTTGAAAACACTCATCTACAAATCATTTTGGCTAACGTGTCAGCACCTAATCCCTGCATGATTAACACGAGGAGTTCCTACTTCTTCCATCCTTCTTCATTTGTCTTCACTATTATTATTACAATTATTTTATCTGGACTCAGATTTGTGTAGATTTCTCCTAGTGCTTTCTCTCATTCATCAAAGGTGTGATGCAATCATATTATTTCTTTTACAATATTGTATTCAAAATTAGGTTTGTCCTGTCTACGGTCCTCTGAGGTAGACCCTTCCTTGTTCTGCAATCTCCCGTACGATTGATTAACTCTGTGTTTTTCTCTTTACTCCATGCTGCTTATGGATCTCCAAAATGTTGTGTATGAAATAACAGTCTTTTCCCCACTAACTCCATTTTGAGGATTCCTTCCTTGGCCAATCAAATCACATTCACACTCCTTGTTTCACATTTGCCGTATTTTCTACGACCAGAAAAAATGCATCATTTTGGCCTACCTGTTGTTAACGTTTCCTTTCCCCCGTATGATTTTAACTGACAGCAAAGAAAGCCTCCAAGTTTCGTGACTGGTTGGATTGTAGCAGTATGGAAATAAAGCCAAATGCAGTTGCAATGGAGATTTTGGCGTATTTAGCGTATGAGACCGTGGCACAGGTAAGGGAGCGTACCGAGTGAACTCCAGTTAAACAGGATGAACTGATTACTCTTGGGTGTCCTTCAGCCTCAGGTGGCTGCCTTGTCAGCCCCTGCAGAAGGATGCAGTCACTGCTCCAGCTAACCAAGCTAGCTGGATTCCTGCCTGTCTTGCAATTCACTGTATGACAGATGCGTGCTATACCGTGTCCATCCATCTGACACGCGGATAGAAAGGTTTTGTAATGGTTACAGAGGAGAGTGGAGTCCAGCACGAACTTTATTCAAGCCCAGACCGAAGCCGCATACTTTGCTATGCGACCTTTGGCAGTGTGCTGAGGCTCAGGCAACCCCGTTGCACAACTGGATTAAAAAGCAGGATTTTCTGGAAAACAAAAAGTTACGTTAGCGCCAAGCCGAGCCCTCTTGGGTGGATGGATTATTCCATATCAGAAGTGGAAAAGAAAGGTTCCTTAGGCTGAAATATCTCTGAATAATTTTGTTTTCACCTGAGAAACACTAAGAGTAATCTGCCTCAACCCACAACTCCTCTCTTCATTATTACAATGGCATTTGTAGCAAGTACCATGTCAGTAAACCTACGTGTTTATCGGCTGGTTTTGCCTCTGCAGTTGGTGGACTTGGCCCTGTTGGTTAAGCAGGACATGGCTCCCAAAGCTGGTGACCCATTCAGTCACGCCATATCTGCCACCTTCATACAGTATCACAACTCTACTGAGGTAAATCTTGCTTTTTCACATATTAATGCAATTTGTGCTTTACCTTTATGTGTATTTGGTAGTTTGTTGCTTTCAAAATAGATGTTATTGAATCTGGTATTGACTTTATGAACGTAGAATTTATGGATTTAGATAGAAAGGCATTAAATTATAGCTCCAAATGTTAAATTCTTAGCAGCATCTTTACATGTAAATGGAAATCCTCTTTTCTTGGGTGGAAATATGTTTCTCCCTGTATTGAAGGCTTTCCCTATTGCAAATTTGGAGATTAAAGTTGTCAACAGTGGCAAGTGCAGCAAGTACTGTTTTCATAGAATCATAGAACTGTAGAATAGTTTGGGTTGGAAGGGACCTTTAAAGGTCATCTAGTCCAACCCCCCTGCAATGAGCAATGGCTTCTTTATTTAGATCAGGTTGCTCAGAGCCCCATCCAACCTGATCTTGAATGTTTCCAGGGATGGGGATTTTGCAATGCAGTGCTGTAATACGGATATTATAGTAACCTCTAGAATAAGCACATTTAATTCTGTATTACATCTAACTAAATCTAAGAAGGCAATAATTTTCTTTTTGTGATTTGATTATCTAATGGCTATTTGACATCTTGCTTTTATAGCCACATCTCTTAGGACAATCTACAAGCATGAAGACCAGTCTTGACTCTCCTGAAAACACACCACCTCCTACACCCACACCCCCAGCATCAGCAGGACAGCAACATCTTGGGAAAACCCCATCAGGAGCCCTGGGGAATGGTGGAATTGGACAGGACTCTACCAAATCCAAACAAAGGAAAAGAAAAAAGGTACTTTGTGCACAAGCCTGGAAAAAAAATAAAAGAAAAAGAAACCAATCTTCAGGAAATACTGTGTTTCATTTTAAATATTGATTTTAACCTATATCACATGTTAACTACCAATGTTACTTTATGACCGAATGTGTGGTTTGGTGTTTTTTCTGTCAGAACTAAAGAAGATAAAGCTTCTCAGTAATGCCTGCAAACTGAATTTTGTTGAGGTAACAACTGCTGCATCTAAAATGATCTCCTACAGCCACAGCAGTTGACTCCATCCCAAATAATCATCCCCTTCTCTGACAGTAGCAGCTAAGGGTAGGTTTTGAGGGTCAAAGCATAAGCAAAGTAAGCAGAGCTGGTTGTGATTTTCCTGCTCCCAGCTGCCTTAGGCAACTGCCTTCTTTGCCTATAACAACTTTGCCTGACCTGCTTTATTTTTATGCCAGTTGGTTGCATTCAATCCAAATATTTGTTTACTTTGCATAAAATATGGATGTCTCATATTCAGAGTGTAAAATATAAATATTACAATTCCTGTCCTCTGTTGCAGATCCTTGGTATTCTATCCGAGAGGGACATACGTACCTTAAAACCACAAGGGAAATTGATTTAATTAAATAAACTGGATAGGAAGCACTGTGTTAGTCACTTAGGGCTTTTTTGAAAAAATGTGATGGCAGTGTTCACCTTGCTACAAAGCAATGGAGTGACTTGTGATTTTCTCGTGTGTGTTATTCTCCTACAACCACTTTTTCACAGAGTTCCATTAGTGATTTTTACAATGACAAATAGAAAAATTTCTCCTTGTAGTGACATCCGTGCTGCAGGTACTCCTAATATGTTCAACTTTTTCTCTGCTCTTATTATACTCCGTTTAGAAAGCCTTTAGTGAATCCTAAAAACCACTCTGAAGACCTTTGCTTTTAACTTTTCCTTTTTATATTACATTTGATTATGTTTTGTTTCTGTGGCTGATTTCCATTTTTATAGAATCGTAGAAGAGTTTGGGTTGGAAGGGACCTTTCCAGGCCATCTAGTCCAACCCCCTGCAGTGAGCAGGGACATCTTCACCCAGAGCAGGTTGCTCAGAGCCCCGTCCAGCCTGACCTGGGACGTTCCCAGGGATGGGGTATCTACCACCTCTCTGGGCAACCTGGGCCAGGGGTTCACCACCCTCGGTGTGAAAGATTTCTTCCTTCTACCTAGTCTGAATATCCCCCCTTTTAGTTTAAAACCATTACCCCTTGTCCTATTGCTACAGGCCCTGATAAAAAGTCTGTCCCCATCTTTCTTATATATATTCTATATATATATTATAAATCCTAGGAACAAGAATTTAGCAGGAGATGTAGTTTTTGATACATTATATTTCACTAGTGTTGTGAGTTTATTTTAAATTCTTAATGTTTGACTTAATGCCTTTTGAAATAATTATATTCTCGAAAGTGCACAGTTTTCCTGAAATGTTCCCATGTCTTACCCAATTTGGTTAGGTATATCCTGGGTATAACTGAGGCATTGAAACAAACGAGTTAACATGGTGAAGAATGTTATTCTTAGTCCATGAAGGCCCAGTCCGGCTCAAAATATTTGAGTTTCATATTCCCTTTGTCAATCAGCAAGGGAAGACTCTGCCATCATATTATGAATAATTCTGTGTGTACTCACACAGGCTCCAGTGGACTCAGCACTCTTGAAAATAAAACATTTTTAAAAAAATATCTCAAGTTTGAAAGCATTATTATATAGTGTAAATGCATAAGGGGACCGTGTATGTGTACATTAGATTTCAGTGTATAATTTAAGATTTTGTCATTCTTAGTACATTCACTAATATAATTTTCATGTATTTATTACCACCCAGCCATCATTCTGATAAGTCATCTGCATTCTGGCAAGCAGCCATGTCTAGATGGAGCCTAAACCAACATTTCGTTTTGACTAGCAAGGAGAAAAGAAAAACTTTTTCTTTTAAAATCCTGGAGATATTTTTTGTAAAATCAATGGACCAGTAGCAATGAATTCTTATCTTTCCTAATTAGGGTCCTTAATCCAAAAAGTCATTTGAAATTTGACAAAAATGCAGTTTAGGTAATTAAAATATTTTTGCAACCCTCTAACACCATTATGTCACATGTTTCATCTTCAAATTTCAATCTCGTATTACTCAATAGTGATTTTGGTGTCAAATTGCCTTCCACTTTGGGTACTTGTTCAATATTTTCCCCACCCCTTGACATCATAATGAGAGCCTGAAACGTTTTAAAAATAGTTTCTGTGGTTATTGCAGTATGACTTATACGACCCTTTCATTTTAGCTTGAACATTTTCTGCTCTTTTCAATTGCAACATACAGCAGCACTAGGTGAAAGATTTAAGAGGACAAATATGGTGTTCTTTGGGTCTCTTAAGCAAAGTTCATGTAAAAGTCCTCTTTGATTTGTTAATAGCTTTTTTTCTCTAATGTAGTGTGTGGCAGCGATGATGAGTATCCTCAGGAAAAAAAAGGATTCGTCCGTTTTCTAAAGGTTTATTTTCATACTTTATGCACTGTAGGTCTGTTGTGTGTTTTTGATTTAGGAACAATTTATGTGTTTTTCTGTTGCAGAGCACTGCAGCCTGTGGTATAGAGGCTCAAAGCGATGCCATCCAGCCCAGCCACATCAGAGAGGCGATTCGACGCTACGGCCACAAGATTGGCCCCCTTTCCCCATTCACAGTACGTAATAACAGAGTTATAAAAAGTTATATTTATAATCTTAAAGAACTTTGATTTTCAAGTGGTCAAATGAAGAAGCTTTGGAATTGTTGAGAGCAATTTGTGGTGACTGTAATTTTCTTTATAAAAGTGGCATAATTCTCTTGGGAAATAAAACTTAGTAATTTCTGTCCCTTTTTGGAAAGACAAAAAAGTTTTTTTTTCCTTTTAAATATTATTTTCTTTCAATTACAAATTATGCTTTTTTGTTAGTGCTTGAATTTTCTGTTTTTGCAAAGTTTAGGTTTACAGTTATTTTAAATTATATGTATTCCAATATGGTGAGGAGCACTTTATATTCTAAAATTAGTTGTGCGTCAGATACTGCTCCTATTGGAAGCTGAACTCTCAAGTGACACATTTATGGTTGGAGAAAGAAGAGAATGGTTTCTTTAGACAACTTTGAACCTCCACTAAAATGTAATAGAACTGAGCTTGTGGTAAAACACTGATGGGTTATGAGGTTTTGCCATCATTTTTTCTATGCAAATTGCAAATCCATTGTTCAGAGCAGCCAAACGAATTCTTTATTTAATTTTCTCAGCTGATAGAAATGCAAGAGTAGTCTCTCTCCAATGTCATAAATTGGGGTCATTTTCTTCTGTCCTGCTGTTCTGTGTGGCATATATCCTTGCTTATCTACATTTAGGAAAGAATGAATGTCAAAGAAATCTTTATAGGGGGAAAAAAAACCCCAGAAAACACTCCAAGGAATCTGGAAGAAATTGTCCATTTTTGGAGGAATATTAGGAAAGGAAAATGTTTCTGAATTTGGAGGAAATTAAGCTGCATAAAAATTATATAGAAGTATATGAAGACAATAAATGTCAAGGAAATAGTGGGACTTGACCTCAGAAGTGAAGAACAGGAAAAAATAAGAGTAAATGAGTATTTGAAGTTATAATTTTCCTAGTGTCAAAACTGATCAATGTTTTTATAAATGTGCATGAATGTTTGGTTTATTGGTGATAGTTGATACATACTTACGCTGAATTATCTTTATATAATTTTACCTCTCTCTTTTGCCACTGAAAATGCTAGATTAATGTCATGTAAAGCATAGGATATAATTTCTAGTCCAAAATAGAGAAGTGTCTCTAGCAGAAGTTTGCTAAGAGATGTAGCTAAGGACACGGCAATAGCTTCTGAAAGCAGAGACACTTTTTGATTTTATTACAAAGAAGTGAAAAGTTCACATAAACAATTACGGAGAGGTAAATCTTCCTTCCCTGACCCTCACTAGAAGTGGTTTGGTTAATTATTAACCAGAGTTTCAAATTTCTCTGCAACCACAAGTTAGAATAAAATACTGTGTTTTGTTTTTGTTTTTGCTTTTCATGTCCTGCAATCTTGTGAACTTCCCAAACAGTACAACTAACTGAACAATTTAATTTGTTGACATTGCCTACTGTCAACGCGATTGATGAGATGAGCAGACCTTGTTCCCTCTGAACAAGCCAAGAAAGAGAAAGGGAACCTTGGGTCATCTTCTAGATGCATACAGATGTTGTAGAGCTGTAATACGATTCCTTTTTTTAATGATGAAGTTCAAGAAAAGCATTTTGAGAGATATTACAGACATTTACGTCTGCCAATCTGCCCACTTTTCCTGTCGGTGTCCTCACTGGCCGTTTTGGGGACGAACACTGCTATCGCAGTTGTCCAAAAAGAAAGTACCCCAAACTTCCTGTAGGTTCCTTAGAGATGCAGAAAATATGAAGGCGGATAGATGCTTCCTTTGACCCGACCTTTTCGTATTGCCAGACTCTCACACTGCACACTGTTGTATTAAAAATATTATCTCTGGGCATTTTGATCAGTACTGCGGCAACACTTCTTTTGAATGACTTCTGCTTTCTCCTGTTGCCATTACCTTCACAATAGTTTCTTTGAGTATCTGTGTGACCTCCTAGACAGGATGTCGGAACAAGGAGGAAAGGTGGCTTTACTTGATGTGCTGCTTGTGATTCTGCGGTGATACTCTGAAAACTACAGAGAGAGAAATATTGAACGGGTATCTGTCATTAGATTCAGTGAAGTCATGCTTTCAGCTGTTTCCACCCTTAGAACTAACCTAACGGGCATGTAGAGAAGTTAGGAATATACATTTTCACATCATCTTTTCCATTTCTCTTAAGCCTGTTGATCATTTGTCCGCATCAGATATGATTTCATAGTCAATAGGTGCCCTCACAGAGTCTGCTGTAGCTAAGGGAGAGGGATTTTTCTGCGAGTCCAGATGTTTTACACTAGGTTTTCTGATGGCAGTTTACTGTTGATGTTAGCAGTCCTACAACGGAAGCAAGGAAAAGAATGAGTACAGCTCATTCACAACCATTTTTGTGAGCTGTATACATGCTCAATTCAGTCCCTAAAATGTGTAGATTAGACTGAACTTTAAGTAAAAGACATAGTTCTACATTCTTACAATAATAACAAGAAAAAACTGCAAGTCTGCAAAATGCTATATTACTCCAGTGTGAGTTTATGATACTTGTAGAAGAAGAATGTAGAATCAGTCCGAGAAACCTAACCATGTACTTACCTATCCCAAATAACACGGCATGTGTTAGGAACATACAAGGAATCTCACATCAGGAATAATAGGCAAAGTTATCCAAAGTATTCAACAACAGTTTTTTGAAAACGAGAGGGTGTTACTCTCTTGAGTGCTGACCATTGAGAAAAGATTGGAGAACCAAAAAGGAAGCACTTGAAATGCTTTCCTGGCCTTCAGAGTAAGATTACATAAGCATCAGCACAGTATAGTTACTGGGATTTAATAAATAATTTCAATTTTTCAAATTTTTATTATTTAATAATAAATTATTTTCAATTTTTTTGCCTACAAAAAATTCTGAAATTTTCTTGAATATATGACTGTTGAGCAGTAAGGACAATTTACAGAAGATTTTACCCGTGCTGTAAATTAGTAAGAAATAATGGACAGCTCTGGACTATTTTTTCATTTCTACCTCATTCCAGCCAGTCATATAAGGCAGAGGGCAAACATTTTCTTTTTTGTTTGGGAGGTTATTTTTAATGTAGCTGGATTTTGGTTTTGCCTTTTTGCCGTTCTGCCTAATGTGAGGCATTCAGTAATCTCAAAATTCAATGTGTGTCATTTTTAATGTTTATGATTTAACAACATTGGATTTTGAAAGACTTTATCATCTGTACAAATGGATTGAGTTTAAATTAGCAGTACAACCTGAGAAATTAATAAAAATCTGGACCTACAAAATTTTTGATAATATTTCTCTATTTAAAATTAGGACATACTATAAAATCAGTGTTCTTTGTATGAAAAATCCCAAACAGATGATTGCATTTTAAACCAAAACAAGACAAGAATATTCCAACTGCCCTTGATATTAAAATACAGATTTTGTCAATTACCTTCTTTCTTTTTTTTTTCCTTCCTGTGTTATAGTTTTTAGTCTTCTTTTTTTTTCTTCACCTTCTTATTTCTTCTCACCTCTGGTGAGCCAGGACTTTTCAGCTCTTGGACTAATGCTGATTTTGGCACTGTCTGGAAACTGACCCTCAGTAGTGGCAAGACCTGCAAGTAATTGCAGAGAGATGAAAGTAGAGATATTTGACTAGGTTCCCAACTGGGAAACCATCCTTGTTTTCTGAGGGCAGATTTAGACTAGATATAAGGATGACGTTTTTCACAATGAGGATGGTGAAACCCTGGCCCAGGTTGCCCAGAGAGGTGGGAGATGCCCTATCCCTGGAAACGGAGCTGGGAGCAACCTGCTCTAGTTGAAGATGGCCCTGCTCACTGCAGGGGGTTGGACTAGATGGACTTTAAAGGTCCCTTCCAACCCAAACTCTTCTATGATTCTATGATATGATTCTCCAGATTCAACATCACACTCTAAAAATGGAAAACCCCGACCTTCCTTCTCCTCCATGGGGTTACAGGAGGGAATCAGCCTTGCTTTAAGATTTGATTAACATGTTTTTCAGTGATGACTCATTCATATTTGACCCAGGTACTTGCCTCTGCACACCTAAAGCTAACTCTCCAGAAACTCCTCTATGTTTGAGTCACTCGCCATGGAAACTGATGTTATGACCTTGATTCTGCTCAAATGAATAAAATTTACTTGTTTCCTTGGCACAGTTCACACCAGGACATGAACTGAGAGGAGAGTCATCTCCTGGTCTTGTATTTATCCTACCAGTACACAGCCTTTATTTTGGTGTGGGTTGTTTGGTTTTCCTTAGACCATTTTTCCATTTCTCAAGGCTGTTCTCTGTTGAGAGCAGAACAACCAGGTACACCAGCTCAGAGCACCAGGAGAACCTTGCACATGTAGGTATTGGCCCTAATCTTGTCTTGGCAGCAAAGTGTTGTTTTCAGTAAGAAACTTCCATGTATGGGGGACTGGCTTAGGGATGGGTGCATTCAATATGAGGTTCACCCATAGGCAAACTGAGTTTTGCCCTGAATACCATCAGTCGTGGTCTCATACTGAAGCTTGATGTTGGAGGAGACAGAGTGAGTGGATCTCATAGGTTGGTTCCATACCAGGAATTTCCAAAGTCAACCTTCCCATTTTAGATGTAAACAAGGCAGTAGTTCATATCCAGGATCCCTCTCAGATATGTTTCTCTGGTGAAACTGTCTCATGTAGATCTTGCCTTATGTTCCAGCTCCTCATGTGGGATTCAGGAAGACAGTTTATCTGTGTATTCCATGTGCCACCTCACAGCTTGGGCACCAGGTTGTTCTCATTGTTAAGGTTCTCATCGCTTAGCTCCATTTCTTACGCGTTACTGCTCTACAGGATTAAAGGAAGAGAGTTTAGTTTTCTCTACTCATTTGACTAATCTTTTTCATTCCTCAGGTTTGTCTTTTTAAAAGGTGAAAGACTTTCCATGAGTAATGTTGGGGTGCAACTGGTGGCTGTCTTTCCCCACCACCCGTCCTTGGATGTTTTTTCAGTATA